AGGTGGACTTTTTTCTTTTCAAACCACACACACCCCCCCCCCACCCCCACACACCAGGAATTTTGTCCCATTTTCCTCTAAATGTGAAAGGATTCAAAAGATGGGGGAAGGGGCAGGGGTTCTTCCCATCCGTGGGGCAAAACCTACGGGCCCGTTTGAAAATGAATAAAAAATAAACTAAAAAAAAAAAGACCGTACCCTTTATGTAATGATGTTTACTTTGAATTTATATTAGTTCACACAAACACTCCATCCATGCTTTTGTCCCAGCCCTCCAGTCCAGTTTAAGACCCATTGTGGCCCTCGAGTCAAAAAGTTTGCCCACCCTGGTAGCCCAATGATGGCGAACTTTTTGAGCTCGGCGTGTCAGCATTTTGAAAAACCCTAACTTAACTCTGGTGCCGTGTCACATATAGAAATTTTTTGATATTTGCAACCATAGTAAAACAAAGACTTATATTTTTGATATTTATTTTATATATTTAAATGCCATTTAACAAAGAAAAATCAACCAAAAAAATGAGTTTGCGTGTCACCTCTGACACGTGTGTCATAGGTTCGCCATCACTGGTCTAGCCTGACTACCCGAGGGAAATGAGGCACTCTTTCTGCCCCTGAAGGCAAAAAGAGGTGGGAATTAGGCAGGTTACTATGGATAAATTTCCCAGAGGCTTTGAGAACCAATCATAAGATGCATTTTATATTCTATTGAAAGTGAGTAGGGCGAGAAGTACCACATCGCAGAGTATGGCCCCAGCCCCTGGCAGGTTGTAGACAATGTTGATGACCACTCTGAGGCTCAAAGGATTAAGCAATAACCACTAGGACAGCATTAGCTCCAGTGGAAAGAAATGAAGACCATCCAAAAGAGAAGCAACAAAGGTTATTTATTCCCAACTTGCTGTAGCAAGGGAGGCACCCAAATGCATTTGGCAGACTCGAAGACAAGCGATGGGAACGTTTTATAGTGGAAGAGGGAGAAGGCCTCAGGTGTGCCCTGGCTGAGGTGGGGGCCTGGGGTGGCTGGAGGCAGGCTATCCAGAAGCAGGAAATCATCCTATGTGATTGTTAGCGAGGTTATTTGGTTTCCTCTGCTCGGTCCTGAGTTGGAAGACAGCGGGGAGGGGAGGGGAGGTTAAGGAAACTGGCAGCTATTGACCAAGTCCTGGCGATTTTGTGTTGATTGCTGCACAGGTTGTGGTTTGGCTTCCCAAAGTGGTGGCTGCAGAGATTGTGGGTCAGAATTCTATTGTCATATGTGGTCTGTTCATTTGTATTGTGGACGAAAGGGGCCACATGCAAACCTGACAGGCTCAGGGGAGGCCTGCAGGGCGGTCTTGCAAACTCAGAGACCTAAAGTCACCACAAAGGATGGTCTGAAATTAAACTTTAACTAAAAGCAGTGATGGTGGGTAGTTACATCCTAGGCCAGTATCTTCACTGACGAGGTCAACCTTTACCCTAACTGAGCCTGTCTTTTGCATCTATAACATACCCTTGAAATGTCTGAGTAACTTGTAACTTCCCTTTTTCTGGACCCCTTGGGGCACAACGTAATGTGCCTGGGCGCCAGGACAGAGACCACAGATTCCTTCATTGTTATCATGTTCATTGTTCCTGCCCCCACCTAAGTATGTGTCCATCATTTTACTTTTTATCCAATCCCAGGGGTTTCCCCGCTTTGCTTTCTCCCGCCTCTCTAGTCTATCACCAGTGGATTTCATGTACCCCACCTACGTCCCTTCCTTTGATTGCAATGGATAAATACAGATGTAACCCGCCATTCTCTGGAGCATTATCTCAATTTCTTGAGGTTCTGCTTCCTGGCAATTGTCGACAGTTTGGCTCAAATAAACTCACAAAAATCCTTTACAGGTTTGAATGTTTTTATGTTCACAGTATATCTAATCACTCACACCCTCCCCGTTCCTCCAGGCAGGGAGGGCTGGGGTAACTCTTTACAAAGCTGGAGAAGACCTGGGGCCCTTCAGCAGCTGAAGGAGTGATTGATAGGGTGGGTCCTGGATTAGATGGCAGAACCGCCCAGAGAGGTTCCCCAGAGGAAACTAGCTGGGCAGAAATGGGAAATGTGTGTCTTTCTTCTTGGAGAGGATGAGGGTGTCGCTGTCCTTGATACCATAGCTCCCCAAAACCGACCAGTCCTGCAGGACCTGGTCGAGGAACTGCAGCTCCTGCTGCTTTCTGAGCAGCCCCTGCTTGTCTTCTATCTGCTGCTTCAGGCCCAGCACGAAGCTGTTGGGGTCGATGGCATAGGCGTGGCTCCCACCTTCCGGATTCCTCACGAAGACCTGGATCTCCGGGGGGATGGTCTCCAGCAGGCAGATGCGCGTGTCGGAGAATATCCCGAACTCGGCCAGGGAGCTGCGGCTGCTGAGGAGCTTCCGCTCGCCGCCCGGAGTCTGGAAGGACAGACGCTGCAGGCCCGTGCAGCACTGTCTCCGCTGGATCCTCTCCTTGACCTTCCTTATGGAGCTATAAGGGTTCACCATGAGGGTCCAATCCGGGCAGCCCCACTGCTCCACAGTCACCTGGATGTCTCGTGCCCTCTGCAAGAGAGACGCGAGGGGCTGAGTCACCACATTCCTCTGTCTGACATGCCAACCCTTATCTTTCCAACAGCAGCAGCAGCAAACATTCAGGGAGTGCCAGCCACCTTCCAGGTCCCATGCTGGGTGCCTTTTATTCTCTTCTTAATGCATTTTATTCTCACAGCAGCCCTAGGAGGGGTTGGTTCTCCTATTATCCCATTTTACAGATAAGGAAATTGTGGTCAAGAAGGGTGAAGTGGCCTGTTAGTGTGGCTCAGTGGTTGAGCATTGACCCATGAACCAGGTCAGGGTTCAATTGCCAGTCAGGGCATGTGCCCGGGTTGCGGGCTCAATCCCCAGTAGGGGCGTACAGGAGGCAGCGAATCAATGATTCTCTCTCATCATTGATGTTTCTATCTCTCTCTCCCTCTTCCTTCCTCTCTGAAATCAATAAAAAATATATATCCTATATAATAAAAGGCTAATATGCAAATAGACCGAACGGTGGAACACCTGAATGGTGGAACACCCAACAACCAGTCACTATGATGTGTGCTGACCACCAGGGGGCATGCTCGGGGCTGCTGGCAGACAGGGGACCAGGGGCCATGGTGGGAGGGAGTGAAGGACAGCGCAGCCCCTCCAGGGTCGGCAGCTAGAAGCTCCCCGTGGGGCGTTGGCCTGGGAGCCGCAGTCAAGGTGCACAAATTTGTGTGCTGGGCCCCTAGTGTGTGTGTGTGT